CCCCAAAACCCCAAAACCCCAAAACCCCATACTTGCAAATTATTTTTAAGAATATAGGAATGTTTCATAATTGCAAGGTCCAAATTCAAATTAGATTAATTTTAAACTTAAAATCATAAAAATGACTATGAGCTCATAATAAACCGAAAAGGAGGCAGCAAATACATTCAAAGAACTTTACAATAATGAAAACCAGTAATTGAATAAAGTTAGGTTTAATTAATTTTAGAGAATAAAATATAGGCAATAGCTATAACGAGAAGTTGCTAAGACAGGTTGACGCTGTGGATAAAAAGATTAATGATTTGGGTTTGCTTTTGGTTGACTTGCAAGAAAGATGCATGTTTGTGGGTAGAGAAAATAGCGTCCTCCCACCACTGCAAGATATCCTATAATATCTAACAGCATGCTTTGAGAAGGTTAATAATGAAGCCTGTAGGATTGTAAGTGATAATAGAATTATAATCTATAAAATTTTAGGGAGCCCTTAGTAAAAAGTTTAAAGTTCCAGAGCCTAAGAGTTTCATAGGAACTTCCGATATCCTACAGCTTATAAAAATTCACTTTGAAGTAATTTCTTTTTTAATTTAAATTATTCAAATTAGATTGTGAGCAAGATATTTAGACAAATTATAGCATTTATAAAGAAGTATACAAATAATTCCTATTGTGTTGGCTTGTATTTGAATTTGAACAGAGTAATCAAGGCTGAGATGGATTTGAATGAATGCATGAAAGAGGTGAGATAGCTTTTGAAATTAGTTAATTTCCTGAAATTCCAAAATGCAGCCTATACTGTGTACACAGGCTTAAAGTGGCTCAAGAAAGCAAGAATCAATATTCACTATAAGGCGAAGAGAGATGTTCTATTTGATGAGTGATTTGAGATAGTAATAAACAAAATAATTAATGTTATAATTTACTTTCTTTGTGTTTTTAAGTAGTTATTTATTAAATCAAGGTAATATTTAATCATTAAAATATTCTCAATAAATTCATTATTTCTGCTGATAATAAAAATTTAGCTCAATCTTTATTAATGAATTCATCGAGACTAAGTGTCTAACTAAATGTTTGTCTAGTGCGTCTGTGATTGTAATAAGGGTTATCAGAAAAATCAATTAACTAATTCTTTTCGCACTACTCTCTCAGTGTTTTTATAGCCTCTATATATTTAGCTTTGTTATTATCTTTTTTAACAGGTATCTTAATTTATTTCTTAGGAGTCTGAGCCCCAGACACTAATCCTTCAACAGCAAACGAAGATTAGGATCTCTCTTTATCCTTCTTAAAGATATTTTCGACCTTCCTTTAAGGTAAATATCTAAATGCTAACTTGAACAGCTTGTTGTTATGATCGTCATTAAGTGTGCTGAATTCCTATTCAAATGATTCTCTATTAAACAAATCTAGCATTATTTGGCTCCCATTGCCTTATATATTTGAGAGTTCATTCCTCTTAAATTAATCAATCAAGTAAGTCTTGTTTATATAGTTATTAGTCTTCTCACATAGTCTGCTTAGAGTCAATCTATCATTGCTTGTGATTTAATCTTAAATCTATTGATTCTTAAATATGATCATGGGTGTAGCTTTCCGCTTCTGTTATTCCATGAGCACCTGTTTTATTTTCATCTTCCTCTGCTTGTCCTTATACTCGTCTATTGTCTTCTAGATAAATTTTTCTTGATGATCAAACATTTCTCTTGGAGTGTTATAATTTCCTGACTTAAGTTTAGGAAGATTTTTGTCATCATTGTCCTTTGGCAAGGAAATTGAAATATTTTTGTGACTTCTATTCTTTCTGATATTATTACTTTCCATTTTTTACTTATTGATCTGAGATATGTGATTTATATTGGTGTTTAGACTTTCTAAAGACTTCACATAGTTTAATGTAGCCTTGGTTTTCTCTAAATTGCTCTGCTATTAATCTAGATTTCCACCTTGAATCACATTATATTCTTTAATTACTTGATTGGCAACTTGATCAAGATATTCCGGATCTCTAGGGTATTCAAGTTTTGGTATCTCGGTTTAGTCAATGTTTTAAAGATTAATTCTTTGTAAAAACATATTTATGTCTTCAATTGAATTTACCAAGAAACTTTTCTTGCTCATTGACTTGTTATCTTGTTTTTAAATCATACTCTTATCTTAGTTAAAAGACTGATTATTCATGTTTTCTGATCCTTGGCCTATTGAGACGAAGCTTTAGTCATTTGCTTGTGAACCTCGATGACTTACTTTTTCCTTCATAGTCTGACTTTATTTTAAGTATCTATTATAGGGATTGATTTTTCTTGCTGATTCAGCTCTTTTAAGTATCTTAGGCTAATTGGCCTGTTTAAAAATTATGTTAGATAGAATTACTATATCATTCTTAATAAAATGTAGAGTCTTGTCTGAATTTCCTTGATTGAGCCTTTCGATAAGTCTCTCAGGATTAGTCAAATAGTCTATTACCTATTTATTAGATTAAGTTTGTTTGATTCTTTGCTAAGTATAAAATTTTACATATTTATTGCCTTTATCTGCTGTTGCTTTCATAAAATTCATCTAGGATTGAGACTATTTTAGATTTTTCCCAAAAGGAGATTTAAGGCTATTACTTCTTGCTCTCTCTATATACATTTTAATTGATTAATTATAATTTATATTACATTTTTAATCTAATACAATTATCCACATATCTTTAATTCCGGGGTTTTGGGGTTTTGGGGTTTTGGGGTTTTGGGGTTTTGGGGTTTTGGG